ATAAATTTTCATAATAGCCACAAAACCAGATCAAAAACACAAAAAAAAATATATAAAAAATCATTATTTTAACACGGCGCACGAACTTTTCCTCAACCTAATACTTCAAAACTTCAGCGTATAATCATTTTATCTGCCATACATCATGAAGATCAATAGTAATTTCAAAAATCAGTTGAGGATACTTTGGTTTTCGAAAGTTCTTCGACAAAGTGAACAACACATAAAAAAACCGCTCGGAAAGTTTCACGTATTCGAATGTTATAGTGATCTAAGCTGGTAGATGAATAGCAGAGTTGAAAATTTTCAAGACATTATTAATACGTTTTTGATCACTCCATTATGTGATCATAGAGGTGTTAAGCAACTATGATAGTTTATTACAAATACCGAATCATACCACAGATTTCTCACCTAAAATTAACTTAACATTTCGCTTTTCATGCATAAAATTTTGGCAGATACTGATGTCAAAAATTAGTTATTAAGTTTAATTAGTTAGTTATTCTCCGTCTCTGTGGAAAATTCTTTTCTGCTTACTGACTTCAGCTTCTTCTGCTGACTGTTTTGTATAGCTCTATTGTGGTGAATATGAGAAAACATGTTTCCACAGGATTGCCATAAACGGATCTTTCGAATTTGGCAATTTCGATCCTTTTACTACACTCATTAGAGTCGCTTTCAGCCATTGTTTTATACATGACTGTTGTACAAAAATAGGAGTGTGAGTATGATACAATGCAAAACTTTCATCCAATGAATTTACGTTGCTAAAATATGAAAAAGTGTATGAGTAGGAAAAATGCATATTCTAACTTTCTTATCTGGTACTGCAGACCAAATTTCCTCCTTGAAAAAAGTTTGAAAAATGTTAATAAGCAAAAAGCGTTGAGATAAGCTAGGACCAAACGCTGAGAGCAAATCACTACAGTCAACGTATGACAGTGCGTTCCGTAATTTGCGTCGCTATTAGCGCTGATTGTAGTGATTTGCTCTCAGCATTTTCTCGCAGCTTATCTCAACCGCAAAAAAGTGCGTAAGAGCTGTGCCATAGACATGTCCGGCAAATGCAGACCTCTACGAATAGCACCAGTTCACGTCAAAACACTTCTTCACTAATATAACCTGTAACACAAACATCCATTCTAGCTTGACATGTAGATAGTCCATTATAGAAAATCACTCTAAAAAAGCAGTTGTGAAACAGGCGGAAACATAGCATGAAAATATTTCTGTAGTCAGAGTCATGATTTCACTTTTAGTAGCGTATGTGGGCCATCATTGTTCTTGGCAGGACCACTAACGTTTCTTAATTAACCTCAAACTTCTTATTTCTCTTTTTGGCCCAGTGGGAGTAAAGGAATAACTACTTACACGGCAGTCAAAGTTTTGTACGCGAAAGCATCTGTCCTGCTGACATCTGCTTCGATTAGTTCATCTCAATTTTTATCCTAAATTTCGCATTTATTCGAGTACTAAGCAGAAGCTTCTAATGGAAAAAGCGAACGAATTTACATGCACTGCATATTTGAAGGCGTCACTTCCGCTGCGTCCCATCGATTCCCATGTCGAACATTTTTATTTAATACCGCCGGTAAACCATAGTTCTCAAAACTACGATCGGTTACCGCGATATGATCTGAAAATCTATAATTCTTCACGCACCTGTGTGAAGAATACCGCACGGTACACTGTTTCAAAGTTATCCACCTTGTTGTTTCGATGATTAGAGCAGTATATAATAGCGACAAAAAATTAAGAGATTTTCTAACTTTTCTCTCATTGACTCCTCAAACTTTGACTCGCATGAACTTTGACTTGAATTACACAGTCTGTCGTAGGATGTCCTGCGATGACTGTCATCCATGACTATCGGCCAGTCTACAAGTAAAATAAAAACCTTGAAAAACCATCACCGATATTTGTTTACAGGGGGGGTATTTTGAAAATCGTCGGTATACTGCATGGTGTACTAAGTAGTATACCAGCGGTATTTTGTTGGTATTCCAGATATGGGTTATACCTCACTATATACTAGCAGTTATATCAATTCAGCTGTGAAATTTTAGAAGCTTGTTCGGCCAAAACTGATCGCATATTCGGACTCTCCATAGTTGGCTACCTTGTACGCAACAAGTTTTGAATTGGGGTATTCTAGAAAAATTTCTCATGAGGGAACCGCCTCAATTGTTCCCAAGCTTTTTCGTCGAAACACACATAGGCATACGTTAGCGCTGATGCTGATTTCGAATATAATAGCCGGAGCAGCATACGGGCTCTTGGTGACTCGGTTTTCTAGGAAACCAGTTTTTCAGAAAGTCTAAAAAATAACCAAAACCTTTCTTAATGAGCCATAATTGTAGCCTACAAATTTCTGATTAAAATGAGACATCTCCCAGCTTATAAATTGTAGAACTTTGCAAAGAAAGGTCGTGTAGAGCTGAGATGCCTCAGTTTAATCCGAAATTTGCGGGCTACAATTATGACTTATTAAGAAAGGTTCTGGTTATTTTTTAGAGTTTCAGAAGAACTGGTTTTCTAGAAAACCAGGTTTCCAAGGGCCATATGCCGCTCCGACTATGATTTTCGAAATCAGCATCAGCGGTGACCTATGTCTACGTGTTTCGACGAAAAAGCTCGGGAACACTTGGGGCGGTTTCCTCGTCAGTCCCGTTCAGCCATTGGTCCACTCCAGGAACTTGGTAAAAATTTTTTTTGCAAAACAATGGAGAAAATTTTTTCTGGAATACCCTGATTCAAAACTTGTTGTGTACAAGGTCATCGACTATGGAGAGTCCGAATCTGCGATCAGTTTTGGCCGAACAAGCTTTTACAATTTCTCGACTGAATTGATGTATATATATATATTCAGAGAAAGCGATAAGGTTAAATATGTTTCGCGTCGCATCAATTGACGTCGAACCAAAGGATTTACTACTGGTCGATCTATTTAATTTTCCACATAAGTTATCAAAATAATCACAGATCACAAGACTAATTACACATTATTTAAAACTAGATATAAGCGCAATCGTGTTTAGCACAAGTGCAAAAACGATTAAGAGGACTTCAGAACTGCTGAAGTAGATAATCGGCGACGTAAAATCTAGCAGAACTCGATAAAATAGTGTATGATTTTACTACGTAATATAATGTGATGGTAAAGATTTCTGAGCTATTCGATGCGGTGTACACATTTATCATACATTGCTGTCCACAGCACGATTGCTTTAAAGCGTGTAAATTTACTATGGAGCAATCAAATATTAAGTCGAAAATCTTTTGTTATGGTAGATATTCAGAAGCTGTTGCTCTTCAGCATTATACTTAGGCGCAAATGAAGAGATAAAAAATGCATTTTATCTGTGGTGATTCTTTTTACAAAAAGAAAAAAGTTAGATGGGCAACAGAAATTTCTTCGTATTTACAGGAATCAAAACTAACGTAAATTATTTTTTGTACAATTATGTAGTTCTTTATGTGACGATAAGATTTCTTAATAAGTCATGCGCAAATATCATGAATTGGTTGGTGATAATCAATAACATCTTCTATAATAAAAAAAACAATGAGAAAACAAGATATGCTAGTTATCGTCGTTATATGTAACAGAATTTCAAGTATGAACTAAATATGAGGTATACTGAAGATTTTGTAGAGAAATAACCTGTCAACATTTCTGCAATAATAATGCAGTCAATCAGATACATTCATTGAAAAAGTTGTTCATACAATCAAAGGACTGCACATACCAATGTCTCTAATTAAACATTCTATTATTATAACAATAACGATGAAAAATGACATAGTTATTCCTAAATGCGAATTAATGATCAATTTATACTCTATTTTACCAATAATTTCTATTACCAATAGCTATTACAATAGATTGAGCATGTTTTTCCACTAAATTTTTCAATTTAATCATGCATCCATCTGCAAATAGAATAAAAATTTCACTCAGTTCTGTTCACATTATTATAATAACTCTTGCCTGAATAGGTAGGCGTTGCATTTGTGTTGTGTAAATATTGTTGACATTTTAGATTTTTTGACGTTGGTGGATAACCTTAAGTGAACTCAATGTGTTTAATTTTTCTACAAAATAAGTCAGACAAATACTACAAGACAATTTATGCGACAAATCTTACCTTGACATAAAACACCTTTTCCACAAGTTCGATCAGGTTTTATTGATTGAATATTACAACAAGACCATGGCACACTACAGGCATCAAACGGAATTTCTTCAGCAGTTGTTGCATTATCCCATTTTTTACACCCAAAATAGCGATTATCTTGCCAATTATGAATGCCCTCTCGATCAATGCCACAACATTGAAAAGAACGTTGTACTTAAAATAACGAAAAACTAGAGAAAAGTAAATATTTCTTTCATTATACCTTGATTAATTGTATCCGTTAGATCTTCATCATCTAGATAAAATTTGATTGCTGCTCTTAATGGTTCATGTATTTGTTTATCCGTAAACATGGTCCATGTAACTATAACCAGAATAATGACGACGATAAATACTAGAAAAAATACCATTATCAATCGTTTATACCATATTAATAAATAAGTATTTTCTCTTAATGCGCCCACACAGCCTAACATTGTAGTAATAACAATCATAAAAGAAATTAAAATAATTAAAAACGGTTGAACGAGAGTTACAGCAGGAGTTGATGTTGAATTTGCTTTTAATAATTGTTTTATTTTATCAAACAACTGTGATTCAATCATGATATAGATGGCTAGTCCAAAAATTGCTAGTGAAATAATCCACAAAACGGTATTTAAAACAAATAAAATATAACGTAAAACAAATGATGGTTGTTCGGGTATTATTTCGGTCATGTATATGTTTCATTTTCTATTTTTTCATTAAGCGATGGTTTGTCCATGGCGCCATAAAAAGTAAAATATTATGGCCGGTGTCACATTGAGATAACTCATGGACATAACTTTGAACTTTGCTTGCTTACAAGTAGATGATAGTTGGAAAAAAGAATTTTTGTTATCAAAATATGAAATTATTTATTTTGAATAATAATTTATTATTACAGTTCTGATGTGCTAAACATGTAAATTTCATCCTTTATAAAATATGTGCGTATTTCGGCTATTTTTTAAATAATTTCAAGCGAAAAATCGTTAACATAGAGAGAGAAAAATATCTAGCAACTAGGCAGACCATTCTTTGAATCATAAATTATAATTTCAAATCCACAAAGGATAAATGAATAAATTTTGTTTTCTAATCTATATCTGATCTATCTATATTATTACATTTCCAAAATAAATAAATTATGTAGCAGTGATTTTTGCACATTTTTCTGTGTAAAACGTTCATCACTATCAACTTTATTTTATACCAGAAAAAAATAAAATGTTTTTATTTGATAATGAAAGACAAAAGAAAAATACGCTAATTATTTTGTCGGGTACATATTAATGTGTTCAGTTTGTATTATTATCATTCATTGTTCTCTACATAACATCACCAATCCATATTAAATTAATGCATTCGCATAAATTGATGTCATAATTCCCGATTTTGCTTAATATAGATTGAAACCGGAAATTTGCCTGGTATGAGCTAATATTAATCATAACAATGTGTTAGCTGATCATTGCTATTTTGTTTCCCTATATAAATCTCATTCGAGTATATGAGAATCATCGTTAACCTTTGAATGGACAATATCCTATAGATGTGTTATCGATAATAATCATTCTTCTTAACACAAACGTCTAAAACGAACGGCGACTAGATGTATTTTCTGTTTTGACAATTCACACATATAGTTGTATGTCACCAAATATTGAAAAAACGCCAACGCCTAATAATCTTTTAAACTTTTATCAAAATATTTGATTAGTTGTCTTAATATATTGTATTTCATATCGATAGTATACCGACAATCAGGAGGGTAATTTCTTTTCCTCTACATGTTTTCCAGTTGATAGATCATAGAACTACTATCATCTATTTTTAAAGTTCATATAGTAACCATTGAATGGCCCGATGATTCATTATTTATCTTCAGCCTGAGTACACAGTCCTCTTCAATGAGTATATTTTGTCGTATGATAAACACTTGAGTAAAATTTCATGATATTAATTGATTATCACCACCATTCGTGTTAGACGCTGAATATGCCTGTTGACGTCTATTATTCTAAATATTTTAATTCAATAACACACGTTGAAGCGTCTTGAAAATTTCACTTAAAAAATAACCTTGATAGTTCCTGAAAACTAAAATACCTCTACTCCTTTTATTTTTACATGTAATGCGAGGAATAACTGCAAAACTGTTGACACCGTCGACAAAAATCGTAAGACTCTCTAGAAGAAATTTAGAATCCCCGCAGGTCTTTCTTCATATATTAAAAAGTTCTCATAGATAAGAGTTAATGCAATATAATGAGATATTCTAACACATAAAAGTGGATAATTTCGCGCCACTAATACGTTTGAATGCGTTAGAAGAGCCAAAATGGTACCAGAAATTGCAGGTCTAAAATAATACCCAAATGTGCTTAATGCATTAAACCAGAATCCAGCCCTAAAACTGTATCAAGAGTAACATTTTATGTGAAAAGAAGCCGATACCCTACGTAGATGGTACATGAGAAGTAAATAAAACCTGTTTAAACCAATGAATGGATTGCTTGTAACGGATTCCTGAACCCAACAAGCAATAATTGATTATAAATTTATTTACGTTTTCATCAAACTTCAGTTAAGAATCAAACAAACAAAACAAAACATTGTACAGAATACACATACAAACAGGTACAGAAAACAAAGAACCAAACAATTTGAACTGAAAAATGATCCATAGGAAAATTTACTTAGAAAAGTATGGTAGAGAAAATTCAGAAAAAATAGAGATATAACAAGGAAAAAATTCTTTTTTTCATCACAATAGTGCAAAGAAGAGAAAAGCAGAATAACTTTTTTGTGCATTATAATAAAACTTTTCAGTGCAAAGAAAAGCACTGTGAAAAACTTAAGAACCGAGATTTTCAGTGAAAAAGATGAATGAATAGGTTTTTCTAGCAATAAAGCCGACGGTTCGAAATTCATACATCTGACTAGTTACACGTACTTAATCGCTGTTCTATTGTGTTTGATTAAACCAATTTTGCCATAAACTACTATTTGCGCCTTGTTGCTGTTGTTGTTGTTGATGATTTAATTGAGACAAATAATTGGGAATTGTTGACGCTGCCGATGTTCTGTCGGGAAGAGATGTCTGTTGCTGTACATTAATGCTTGAATTATCGCTGACTGGTTGAGTTGTAGTCGGTAGAACAACTGCTGACGTGGAGGCATTCGGTTGTTGCATGCAATATTGACTCCATTGTTGTACATATTGACTCCATTGATTATCGAGATTTGATGGTTCTGAGGCTACTGAAGTATCTTGGACAGCGGCAGTTGTCGTTTGTTTAACTGTTGGTACAGCTGTTGCTTGTGACTGTGGTTGTGTAGGTAAAGACGAAAAACCGTGGCCTAGAAAAGAAGAGAAAATTTCTAATTTATTTTTTGAAAAACATCATTAAAAGTTCTTTTTGCAAAGCTCAAAAAGTTGAACAACCTTTTTTCATTTTATGTTAGAATTCGTGTATACATACCTGCTGGTTGTGACTGTTGTTGAAGAGCAACTGTTTGTTCAGGATGGGAAGCTGAAGCTGTTCTTAAAGCTTGTTGTTGCTGCTAAAAATATCAAATAAAATGGAGATTAGTACCGCAGATTGCACACAACATGTTCTCTATTTTCAATCGAGCAGATGAATACTTACAACATAATTCCAGTATTGTTGACAATACTGTGCCCATTGCTGTTGCTGCTGTTGTAGTGCATCCATCACTGACGCTGACGTTCCACTCACTGCCGATGTGGCTTGTTGAGTTGCTGATGCTTGCTGAACATTTGTGGTATTTTGATACTGTTGAGATGTGGATACCGGAGTTGAGCTAGTAGTTTGTTGGGGGTTAGAAGTCACACCATACTGTGCATAAGGATTTACAGATTGTGGCTGCTGCGATTGATGTTGACTATAAGGATTAGGCTGTTGAATTGCAGTCATTGAATGCGGTGCTATTTGCTGTGACTGGCTTTGACTTGTAGCTGGTACTACAGAAGTAGCTGATGGCCAATTATAACCTTGACCTCCACTGAAATGTTGTTGCAATTGCGGCATTTGTTGATAAGAAGGCATATTTGGTTGGTTTTGTGCTGATTGTTGTGCAGAGTTTGGGGGTGGCATTTGCGCGCGAAATTGTGGATTGATTTGAGATTGGATTGACGATGATTGTTGTTGTTGAGAATAGGCTTGATTCTGTGATGGACGCGCTTGACTATACGTTGCAGTATTCGTAACTTGATACAATGGAGTAGTTGTAATTGCAACAGGCAATTGAAACTCTGGTTTATCTAAAAAAAGTACGAATAAATATAATTAAATAGAGACTAAAAACAATTTTCTTACGCAATGGTTTATTATCAATATCATATTCTTCCGTTTGACGGTCACTAAATCGACTTTGACGGCGGCCCAAATTTGTACCAGAATCTGGATTTAAACGATTATATGATCGTTGTTCATTAGTCATTCCACCTTGTTGACGATAATTTTGTTGCACATTATTGTAATCTGAACGATTTTGCCCTGGAAAATTTGGTGAATACTGTTGTTGTTGCGTGTTTCCATGTTGTGAGTTTAGACGATTTTCAGGAACATTTCGATATCCCGCACCAGGAAATTGCAGTCTCCGACCTTCATTTTCTAGAAAAAAAAAGAAGTTCAATTCAGTTCGTCTAGGAGAGCTTTTTACACAGAAAAGCCTACGCTCATGTTCACGATTATCCTGTTGACTGTTACTTCGTTGATCATAATCGCGTCCTTTAAATCCACGCTCGTCCGATCCAAATCTGGATCGACGTCCTGTTCCATCGTTGTTACTATCACGTTTTTCCTCTCTAAAATTGTTCATAATATGCTATTTTTCAGATTATGCTTAAAAAATTAAACAATTTTCACCTTTTATTCATGAAGCTTTCTCGACTAGCTCGAGTTGAAACGTCTCGATCGCCTTTTATGCCAAATTGTCGATCATTATTTTCATATTTCGTTGCAAACCGTCGGTCATTTCTCGTCGCTGGTGATCTTGAACGATCTGTACGACTATTATGATCTCTTGATGGCCGATCATACTCTTTTCTACTGTTCTCTTCTCGACTATCGTAACGTCGATTATCATTTTGATAATATTGCTGCTGATTTGGCATCTCTACAAATGAAATAAATGCGCAGATTTTATAATTTTGACTTTTGACCGTTATTCTGTATTACATATTTTACATTATTGCCGTTCACAATAGCAAAAAGAAAAATTTTCTAATTATGTAGCTTTTGCATCAGAGATGGGCAACTCCGGCTAAGTTCGACGCCAACTCAACTCCAACTCCGTTTCAACTCCGACAAGAACTTATTTTGAGAGAACCAGACGAACTACGTGTTGCCATTTGGAGTATTTTCTAATTTTATAGAGATATCAGCGGTTATAACAACACACGATGTGGATAAGTGAGCAAGAATAATCCAGTGCGTCGACATAAGGTTTCGTTTTCTTTTCTGTGTATTTCTTAAGAAGTAGACATTGGAAAGGAAAAATGAGAGACTTGTTTCGATCAGCTCTAATGTGATCACTGCAGAAAGCAGTGAAATGCAGATTTCTAACTGGAGTTGTGGAGTTGGAAAAATCTTAACTCAACTCAACTCTAATCTAATAAAAACGCAACTCCAATTCAACTCCAATTCCACTAAAAAGAAGCTCAACTCCGGAGTTGGAGTTGCAAAAGAAGCAGTTGCTCTGTTTTGCGTACGGAGTCGATGAAAAAGAATTAACAAACAAATTAGTTTGTACAAGTAGAAGTTTCGATTACCACTTACTAACTTCCAAAAGTTTGAAGAATAAGCTTTCTATTGTTAATGTGGGCGAGTACTATTTCCACCAGTAAGTGAAAGTACTGTCATATATGCTATACTATTTACAAATCAACATTTTTACATACTTGTTTTATGTAACAACATATCTTGCTCTTTTTTAACGTTTAATTCCATCAAGCTAACGTCTTGTTTTTGTTCTGAGTATTTGAGTGATGATGATAAATCTAAAGGTATATTAGAAAATAATTATTGATAGTACTATTTCCATGTTTTAGTGATTTTACCTATATCTATTCGATCATTATTTCCTCTTGGTAGAATTGATTGCATTGGCTTTTGAGATATTTGTTTATTGTCTTGCTGTACCATAGTTTGTGACTTTTGCGCATTATTACTGTTGCTACCACCGAACAATGATTGCTGTTGACGAAAATTTTCATTTAAAGGTTGTTGATTATTCTCGTTAAATGATGCTTGTCCTCCAGAAAATCGATTCATGTTACCTCTATAACCTGCTTGTGGGTTTGAGAATCGTGGACGTCCTCTGTGAGGAAATGTACTGTTTTTATTTGGAAAATTATTTGAATCAGTAGAATAATTGGAAGAATGTCGATTCGGTGCAAGGTTCAAACCCAACAATGAAGGCGGTACAGAATTTGCTACACCCATTTTTCGATTGTTATCACCACTTAATGAACCCTGTTCCTTATCATTATTGTTATTATTATTTCTGTTATTAAAATACGATTGATCATGTTGATATCCTGCGCCACCATGTTGTTGAAAATTTCCACGTGTCCCACCACGTGTTCCTCTTGATCCACTGTTATTATATGATCCACGTCCTCTTGAATTACCTCGCAATGATGGATCATCATTTGCTCTAAATTTTGATGGTCGTTCCTCATTACCACTATCACCGAAATTTCTATCCTGTAAAGGCAGAAACAAATATTATTCGAGTTCAGCTCATCATATTAAAACGAAAAGTTACCTGATGAATCATTTCATCCATTAAAGATTTTGGGCCTTTCATGTTTGCCATTGAGGAATACCCGTTTTAGCCTAAAAGGATAAATAAAAAGAATAAGCTTTTCTTCTGCTGATGACTATAACTGAAAAAGAACTAGATATGATAGAAGCTTTCTTCAAACTCCAACAGCAAATGAAAATACAACAGTTATCTATGAAACCAGTCAAATATTTATAAATGTAATAAATTTCTTATATTTAAACTTCCATTTTGTCAGCTCTGAAAAGATAGCCATACTTTACAATAATGATTGGCAACATTCAGTAGATGTCAAGTACTGTAAGACAAACAAGTGTGCAAGTTAGAAGACAGGTTAAAGCAAGTCATTCGACCTATTTAGACTCGTAAATAAAGGAGATTATCCACAATAAATAGGAGAAAAAATCTTTTTCACCATTGAAGGACATGAAAAACTGGATCGTCGGTAAGTCTTGTGAAATATAATAATATTAATGACATTAAGATTGAAAAACTGTGATATAAATAGTCATTGTGCACTACTCATTCAGAAATACAATGTACTTTTCTGCTATTAGCAAAGTAAAAAAGTTATGATCACTGTAAAATGATTAGGTATGCATTAGTTACAGTTTTTTGTCAATTAATTGTATTTTCAAATTATTTGAATTTTTATTCGGTTCATAATACAATTTGTAAAACATTTAACTTACACATGAAACGGAAAGGACGTAAACAAATAGAACGGGCAATTCATTTTTATTTATATATATCTATACTGTGTTTTTTAAATTTGTTTACGTTTTTTCTGTTTCGTGTGTAAGTTAAAAATTTTATAGACAATACATTTACATGTAAAGAGATATATTCATCCTCTCATATATTTATTCACCGGATGAAATCAACTCTTAAATTTCCCTGGCAAAAAATTTTTTGTAGTCTTTCGAATGAAGATCCAGACCGGATATACTTAAGCAAAAATGTCTGTTCAACAAGAAACGATGCATATTCGTCAAATAAATTAAGAAAAAAATCATACAGTTTCCAGAGTAAAGTATTTCTATTACAAATGAGAGATAACTAAAAATATTAAGTCAGTTAATCAACAAAAGCTTTCTTAGCAAAAAAGATATAATTCATATACAATAATCGGGATTTCTGACACTTTTATTTCTTCAAATTTTTCACAAAAGGTGTTCTACTTCTTTATCGACGAAAACTTTTTAAAGAATCAAAGATTCCAGACCTACGAAAGTGATCGTTCATATAAATTTGTATGGAGAAAAACAGTTGTTACACATCTATTAAGTAAAAGAGTCAACATATTTGACAATTCAGAAGTATTCTATGAATTAAACATAAGTGAGAAATTTCAAATAGAGGTTTCATAAATAAAGTGTTGGCAGTCACATCGCATAAGGTACTGGCCATCAGTAAGAGAATTACTAGAGTATATTGGAATTCATTGTGTTGTGGAACAGTATTTCATCAATAAATCTATATCAGCTCATCGTTTGAAAATAAATATTGAATAATATCAATCGATTACATTACAGAACATGCGCATTTATACGAGAAAAGTGTCCATAGAGAATATTGCAGAGATCCAGTTGATAACATAAATTTTAGTAGTTTGTCAGAACGATCAAAGCTACAAAGAAAGCTACATCCGTTCAGCCAAAAGTGTTTGAATAAAACATATACGATATACTTCTTACACATTAAATTATGGTAGAAGTATTTTTTGTAGTTAGTCATTAAAAAAAACAAAAACATAAGCGAATATACTTTAGGATTGATCAAAAAGTTATAAAACGCAGAGCAGCAAAAGTTATAGTAGATCCAGTGACAGACTGTAACGATTTTCTGTGATTACTAATCACAATTGTAAAATAGTATAATAATTGAATAGGTTTCGCGAGTGGCTTTGAACAGTGCGAAAACAAAAAAATATATATAAAGTATAAGTGACAATCGGCGAATACAAAACGATTCTTTTGTCTTCCCAGATACCGATTTAATCGTATAGGATTAGTTGAATCTTCTTCGTTTGTTGTATGTTGTTTATATTATGTTGCGAGAGGATATTTTCAACGAACAGCAAACAGTGTATAGTACTTTGTTTATCCACAATCAGCAAAACTAAAAAATATTTGTACACTATTGAGCAATTGAATGATGTAGGGAATATTGTTAAGAGAAAGTATTTTCGACTATATAGAAAAGTATCATTCGTTGAATTTAAACGACTTTCTTATATACATTACCTTTTCAGTTGAATCTTTGTCGTTGTCACTGTTCTTCTTCTTCGTTCGACATGATTTTTAGGTATAAGAAATAAAGCCAACATTATAAATTTTATATTCAACATAAATTTAATTCATTTGCGAATCTAGGTTCTATAATAGATAAAATAATGAGACAAGACGATTTTCTTGAGATGGAACTGGTCTTTGAGGGAAAATTGTGCATGTTTCTGTAATGTTGAATTTGGACGATTTTTTCTGATAATAATAATATAATATTCAAACGTAGAGCTGATAATAAAATTTTGATGCAGTTCCACAATCTACTAGAGCTTTTCATTTGATTGTAGTTTTGAAGAAAAAAATGATGATGAAGTGGAAAAGATTAGTGATATACTGATTACAGTTACAAATTGTGCAAAAACAAAATCAAAGCAAAGTTTACAACTTGTCTCCATAATTATTATACATTTGAGACAAGTTTTTCTACGCTTTAGGGATAAATTTACAGATGATAATAAATGGATATTCACAATATGGATTGAAAATTACAAAATCATTACGGTTAAATGTTAAGTATAACGATACGTAGGAGAGAAACATTTTTGAGACCAAAATAACACAAAATGTTATTTAATGGACATCGGTCTTTTTTCTCAAAAGGATAATCAACAAAAGTTTTTACAAACGAGAGTCATATATATAAAAAACATTTAAATTTTTATCTACTTTAGTAGTATTGAAGACTATTGTACATAGTATAACCTTATATACGAAGCAATAAACTTCGAAAAATCACTAAAACAGAGTATAAAAGATGCTGTTAATCTCCAGCAAAGTAAATAGAAGCGACGCTTGTTCAGCAATTGATTCATCAAAGAAATTAGTTGAATAGTTCATTCGAATAAAATATATTTAATGGTAAATCTAACACATTAGAATGACAATAAATACTGCAAATGTAGTCGGTCTTTTATAGACAAACTTAATAATTTATCGATTTCTAACACCATTAACTAAATACATTTGATAACTTGAAAAATATACTATATAAACTATAACATATCGAATTTCAAAGATATCAGTGTCAAATCATTTTAAAGGGACTTTGATAAATGTAGTAAATCAATATAAATGATGATACGAGAATATCGATGAGAAGGAAGTTTAGTAAAAAGTGATTAAAGACATACTCTAATCAAACGATTGTTTAAATATGGATAAATGTACATAACCATAATTAATTAAACGAATATTAACGATTCAGTTAGGGTGTAAGAAAATAACATTCACTTTTCTTGCTTACAAATAGACATTATGCTTTTAGTCTGTTTTAATTTAAGAAAGCTGAACAGTTTCAGAGTGTGATGTCCAAGTTCCTGCAATTCTGACATTCTACAGAATTCTATACATTGTCTAGATTTCTTTTTTGAGAACAACTTGGACGTTTCATGTTTTAGCTGTGTAATAGTTGTCCTAGAATTCTATAGAATTCTGTAGAATGTCTGAAATGTAGGAATCTGCCATTGCTGGTTCCAGAGAGAGTAATTCTTCACAAAAGAAAAAACACAAAAGAAATTCTTATCACAGTAGTCTTGTATGCTAAATACATGTACCTTGAGTTATTTTTCTACCTGATTAAAGAACCTAAAAAAAACTAAGCCTCTTCGCAGTTGTTTATCTAAAACGTTCAGAAGTAAAATTCTAATAAAGTATCACAACCATTATCTGAAAGAAAAATTTGCTGCTTGTCCCATGCAGTAGCATTGTACAGAAAAGTATATTAAATACGACAAGCGAACTTATCATACAAATAAATAAATACCAGACAGATCATGTACGTATTCTTTTGTTTCTGATCATACACAATTTGAAAAAAAAAACATTTAACAAAAACATATATGAAAATTAATGTTCAGTTTTCATGTCAGTGACTTTTACATTCATTGATTAAACGCTATTAGGGGAGTAGAAAAGCGATTTCAAATCTAACCCTTATATAATTCCATATTCAGATATACGCAGTTCGATGACTAACACATCACATCGAAATTGCGGAAAGCGAGGACTTTTCTCCGAGTCGTAGATGATGCTAACTTATTTCTCTTGCAATTCGAGAAAAACAACAAGAGTTGTGATAAAGTCAGGTCAGAATGGGGGGATGTTTGTGTTCCAGCTTAGGGAAGATGCGGTTCAGCTCTGACGTGAAGGGGTGTTTTTTGTTTTATTATGCTATGAGGTACTTCCATTGTTTGAAAACAGAATAGGAGTTCGAAAGTCTTTTGTTCTTATTTGAAGACTTTTTTTGTTGTCATTGCTAAACTTTATGCTAAGATTTTTTGTTCATTTCTTGAGGCTTCCGGTGTGTGAGTAGCAGCGTTTCTATTAGTATAGTGGACAAGCAGGCTTGTACTATAATCTACCATGATAAACTGAAATCCATGATGGGTTTAAAACTCTTTTTGTAATGTTGATTCCACAGTGGAAAAACTCATCATGACGCAAATCTTTATTAAAAACAGTGGTAAGTGGCACTGTTGATCATTCAAAATTAGAAAGACAAGAGTATGCAAAGAAACATCGATGTTTTCTCATCAAAAACGGTTGTTTTCTACGTCACGTGTATTAGAGCTAAAAAGCGTGACGTCGTCTACCTTTTACCCGACCAATGAAAAATCGGTATCACACTTCTGTTACCCGACGGTTTTTTGTCATCAGTATGATATCGTCTGGTTAAAAGTGTATCACCATCACTATCTTTATACTTTTCCATGTGTAAGTTTTCATAGTTTCGACGTCCTTTTTTCCTGCACTTAGTTCAACTATCGTCAGAAAAAAGGAAGGACGAAAAAGAGAATCTGTAAGTCTATGAAGTTCTACTAAAAGGATGCATAGAGATAGGCATCTACCGAGACCGACAAATATGTTTACGCTTTCGCTGAGAAACTATCAAAGGTCGAAGAAAACAAAAATACTGCAGTAAAACATATCAGAGATGAAAAGTAATAAAAACGATCAACAAATATGAATAAATGGTCAATACAGTTTGTAAGTAAATAGTTGGTTAGATTCAACCATAAAAGTTACGTTATGGACTTCATATACGTTTATAGCTGAAAAGTGTATAAGAGAGAAAGATCTGGGTTTCAGTTATAAGATTGTTTTAGTATCTTAGAAATTTCTAATGTTTGAGCAAGAACATCAGCCACCGATTTTGCAAATATTCACTTAGAGGTAGTGGAAATCAACTAAAGGCGGACGGAATCGTAGATGCAAGAAAAGGTTTCTTTTTTTTCGTGTTCTAGATTTCAAAACCATGTTTAGTTTACAACGCGTGAGATGGTAATTTGATGATCGCGTACCTGTAACCAGAAAAAAGATGTCTATGACTGCCGACCATAATTTAGGACTATTTCTTCAAATATAAGTGCGTTGTTAAGACTGAACTATGCTTAAGGGTACTCTACCCTCTGTTTGAGCTTTACGGAGAAATGCTGTAAAATAAAAACTAAAAGTCACTAAAGCTTTATATTTCTAGAACTGATTGAAAACTCAATGGAACATTTTTCGTTTTTGCTTCAAGTTTTTAACTATCATCGCTCACGAGTTTTTCAGCACAACTCGATTTTTCATTGTGTCACATTCAGACTCCTCAAATTTTATCCAATCGAGTTAAAACTTTTATCATAGGTACTCACGGTAGTATCGCAGAGGTGTTTTTTGGAAATTCTTTTTCAGAACTTTCCTGATCGAATTATAGGGAAATACTGAAAAACGTCTCTTTTCAATTTTAGAAACCCTATAACTAGAAGGTCTAAAATAAAATTTAAAAAAAATATCTATGCAATAGTGTGTTGAGTATCTCTGATAGAATTTTTAACTTGATCGGATGAGATTTAAGGGAACGGGGGCGACGTCGACATGTGACACAATGAAACCGGATAGCAAAAAAGCAGTTTTCGAAAAAAACGCATTTTGTACACAGGTCACTTTTTTTCAGGGCATTTACCACTATGCTTATATCTCCACGAAAACTCATTGAAAAATTCTGGAAGACGTCTCATTGTGAAGAGAACACCTTTGTTTATTAGACTATGTGTAAGAAAAAGTTTGAATGTACAGGAAAGAATAGAAAATTTTATGAAACTAGAAACTGGAATTTTTTCAGGTTTTGAAGGAAAAACTCAACTTTTTGAAGAAAGGCCGTAGAATGCTGGGAATGGTCTCATTTTGTAGCCCACCCTTTCCTCTACATCAACCTATGCTCACCTCAAAATCCAAAGTTTTTTCAAAAAAGAGGGATGGGGTACCCTTAAACGGCTTCAGTTTAGTTTACTTTTTATTTAGAGTCATAGTGTGTAATCATCAGCGCAAATCATCTTTATACTAGTCACACGTCTACAGTTGTCAAATCACTGCTACTTCGCAGTTCTATGAGGAAACTTCATTATATTACCGTTTTTTTGCAAATTTCAGATTAAAGTTTTATTAACTCGTGTGTTGAAAAGAACAAAAATTCATAATGGGTCGTATGCATGCACCTGGGTAGGTTTTTTGAAACTTTTTCGCTGATAGTCCTATTGATCATCTGTTTGATTTTAGAAAAGGTATATCTGATTCAGCATTGCCGTACAAAAGATCAGTTCCATCGGTAAGTGTAAAATTAGACGAATTGATTGGAGTTACTTATGCCATTTTACTCATTTCAGTGGCTCAAACTAACAGCTGAAGATGTCATCGATCAAATATGTAAATTAGCTAAAAAAGGTTTAACTCCATCACAAATAGGTATAAGAAAATAAGAAGAATTCTGGATTACCCATTCTCTATACTAATTTTTTACATTTCCTTATTCTAGGTGTTATACTTCGTGATTCACATGGTGTGGCACAAACACGTTTTGTAACCGGAAACAAGATATTACGTATTATGAAAGCAAAAGGCCTAGCACCAAGCAAACCAGAAGATTTGCATCATTTAATCAAAAAAGCTGTTGCTATACGAAAACATTTGGAACGTAGTAGAAAAGATAAAGATGCAAAATTCCGTTTAATCTTAGTGGAAAGTCGTATTCATCGTTTAGCACGTTATTATAAAACTAAAAAAGTATTACCATCAACATGGAAATATGAATCATCGACAGCAGCCGCATTACTGGCATAAGAAACATAATTTCCTATGATCTATTATTATTTATTTTATGCAACAAAAAAAAAATGAAGCTTTTCGTAAACACTATGTAAAGTGTTGTTGATGTTGTTGTTAAAATTAATGCGTATTTCAATAAAACAAACGATGAGCTGTTATTGTTATATTTTATGTTTTGATTTGCGCAATACAACCAGGAAAAGAGAGATCCTCTTAGAGACTTTTCCTTTTTACTTATCATAAGTTGGCTAGGAGAGCTGTTACTGCACAGGCTGAGACTACAAGGGCTGAACAATGTTTAGATTAATTATCTACTTCAAAAGACTTTATTCTTTTAATGTTATTGTAATCACACATATACTTCATTTCCAGATTAAATTGTTCAACAACAACTAACTGTCGCCGTTTTTTCTAAAAATATGGCTGCTCAAGAACTTATTACCATTTTGGAACGAACTGTTGCTGGCAGTAAGTTGAATATTTTTACATAAACGTAACTTGTTCAATATAGCATGGTTATTTTTTGATTTTTTCTAGCCCAAGCTGATTTGGAAAACGCACGAAATTTTCTTTCGAAAGCAGCTGAGCAAAATTTAGTAAGATTTAAGGTTTAAAATGGTAGCAACTATGGTAATAAAAATGCTTGTTGTTTTCCATTTAGCCTGAACTTCTGAAGCATTTATCTGATATATTGAATACAGTAACAAATAATCCAATTGCACGCACGCAAGCAGGTTTGCTTTTGGAATAATCTGATGTTTGGTATTGAATAATTTTTTATTTTTTCATCGTCTAGCATTGCAATTAAAGAATGCTATCTATTCTCGTGAAGAAAATTTGAGAAAGGTCTATCAAGATCGTTGGGTGGCACTACCACAAGATATAAAAAATTACATCAAGAATAATGTATGTTTGTTTCCAGTATTCATCAGTAACTACTATTGTTATTCTATTTATAGTGTTTTGAAGCCCTCGGCACTGAAACATCGAAACCATCACAAGCTGCTCAGTGTGTTGGTTATATCGCTTGTGCCGATTTACCGCGTGGACAATGGCGCGATTTGATCGGTAAAAACTTTATTTTATTGTAATTGGTGCCGTGAGCGGCACATAGACAGAGAAAGAGAGAGTGCGAGAAAGACGAGTGTTGAAGAGTGGCGGCAAAAAAGGCGTGTTTTGTCTAGATGTGATACCGTTTCTTTTTTTTTTGTCCTTCTCTATGTGGAGTATGCTGTATGTTGTTTGATTGATTGCTTTAGACCGACTAGTCGCCAATGTAACAACGCCAGGAAAAGCGGATAATTTACGTGAAGCTAGTCTCGAAGCGCTAGGCTATATATGTCAAGATATTGTAAGCGCAACTAAAAAACAATTTTGTTTGTTGTTTGTTTGAGTTTGAATGAGAAAGCCTGATATTTTTACATTTTTAAGAAGTCAGAATAGTTTGTCTTTACTATATTTGTTTGACATTTACAGGATGCCAGCGTTTTGATTCCACAAAGTAACGTTATTTTGACAGCGCTTGTATATGGCATGAGAAAAGAAGAAGTGAACGATAATGTTCGTCTAGCGGCCACAACAGCCATGCTGAATTCATTAGAATTTACAAAAAATAATTTTCAAAATGATGTAAGCAATATTCCTTTCGACCGAAAAAAAATATAATATTGATGTGATCCTTTGTTTTTAGAGTGAAAGACATTATATCATGCAAGTTGTTTGTGAAGCTACTCAATCACCGAATCTTAAAGTAAGTTTCAAAATTCAAACAGAAGAGCTAGCAAACAATTCTTTGATGATCTTTAGATACAAGTAGCAGCATTACAAAATTTGGTCAAAATTTTAACATTGTATTATGATTACATGGAATATTATATGGGTCCCGCTTTGTTTGCTGTAAGCATCTTTTAAAACAAAAAATCTTTTCTCTTTTACTTGTAAGGTATTTCTCGATAGATCACAATGGATGCTATGAAATCATCTCATGACGAAGTTGCTTTACAAGGTATTGAATTTTGGAGTAACGTCTGCGATGAAGAATATGAACTTCAACTAATGCAACAAGAAGCAGCTGAACAAAGTCGTCAACCCGAACGTACAAGTCGATATTATGCACGAGGTGCATTACAATATTTAGTGCCAGTTCTGTTGCAACGTCTTACAGTGCAAGAAGAAACCGATGATGATGATGATTGGAACCCGTGTAAAGCAGCCGGTGTCTGTTTGATGTTATTAGCTAATTGTGCAGAAAATACGATTATTCAACATGTATTCCCATTTGTTAGTGAAAATATAAAACATGCAGATTGGAGATTTCGAGAAGCAGCCGTTATGGCATTTGGTATGTATTCAGATACTTGTACTTTGAATCTTTTTGACAGTGTTTCTTTGTTTTAGGATCAATGATGGAAGGACCTGATGTTCAAAGTATAAAACCAATAGCTGAACAAGCCGTTCCATTTTTAATTGAATTATTGCATGACCAACGTGTTGCTGTACGTGATACAACAGCGTGGACAATTGGACGAATATTTGAATTTGTTTCTCAAGCTGTAATGAACGATCAGTTGTTACGTGGAATATTAACAGCGTTAGTCGCTGGCCTGAGTGACGTTCCACGCGTAGCAACTAATATCTGTTGGGTAGGTACTTCAGTTACATTAATTTTAATAAATCGATATAATATTTATCATTTACAGTCATTTTCAAGTTTGGCACGTTCTGCATACGAACATGCCGAATGTTCAGACGATGATGAAACGCCAAGTACATATTTATTATCGCAATATTTCGAAGGTATCGTGCAAAAATTAATCCAAACAACAGATAGGTATGACATTTTTCTCGTCACACTTTTTAGTGACGTGTCGTAATTTGATACGCTCTTTTTTTAACTAGAACTGACGGCAATCAATCAAATTTACGTAATGCTGCTTACGAAGCTCTCATGGAAATGATTAGAAATAGTCCAAAAGTAAGAAAATTTTTAATTGTATGTTTGATGCATTAAACGATTAGTCATTATAGGATTGTTATGCAACTGTTCAACGAACAACAATGATTGTATTAGAAAGATTAAATAACGTTATTTCGATGGAAAGTCATACGGCTAATTCAAACGATCGAGTACAAATAAGTGATCTTCAGTCATTATTGTGTGCAACATTACAAGTAAGAAAATAATTTATATACGTTTCATTAAATGTAAATACCTTTGTTTTTTTTCATAGAGCGTCTTACGTAAAATGCATCCAACTGATGCACCTGTCATCTCCGATCACATAATGACAGCATTATTATCAATGTTAAAGTCAAACAATGGGAAAGCTAGTTCGGTACATGAAGACGCATTAGTGGCTATTGGAACTCTGGTTGAAGGTACTTTCTGACAAATTTTCACGTTTCTGATGTTTTTGTATACTATTATTTTTAGTGTTGGGCCCTGAATTTTTCAAGTACCTTCCACATGTATTGCCTTATTTATTTGAATCATTAAATAACCATGCGGATTATCAGATATGTGCGGCGGCTGTTGGATTAGTTGGTGATTTAAGTCGTTCATTATTAGATAAAATTACACCATATTGTGATCTAATAATGAACCATTTAGTACAATGTCTTGGGGTAAGGTTCATTTTGTTGTTTAATCTAGCTAGTCAGAAAAGAGTGATCACTCAGATGGATAAGTCAACGTGGACCATTATGTTAGACAAAATAGCTAATGGCTTGTCGAAGCAACAGAGCTTTCCTACGCTTGACTAGAATTACTATCTTCAGCGATAATAAGTCCGATTGAAAAAATGGAGATGTAACTTGTGCCATGAATCTGCAGTTATTATCAATATAGACTTAGTAAAAAGTTCCTCTAAAGTATATCATTTACAATATACATTCTTTTTTTTTTAGGATGATAAACTTCATCGTTCTGTTAAACCACAAATATTAAGTACATTTGGTGATATTGCATTAGCTATTGGATTTGAATTTAAAAAATATCTTGAAGTGGTATTAAATACACTAAATCAAGCGTGTCGTGCACAAGTAGCTAAGAATGATTATGACATGATTGATTATCTAAATGATTTGCGTGAAGGATGTTTAAGTGCATATACTGGAATTATACAAGGTTTAAGAAATTCAACATCTGCATCATCGTCGACAGGAGCTACGACTTCTGGTTCAGGCGGTATTATAGTACAAACAACGACGCCATTGGCTGACTTACAATTAGTTACAGTACAATTGCCATTTATCATTCAATTTATTGAAACTGTTGCACGTGATCCAAATAAATCCGATACAATTATTGGAGCGGCCATTGGTTTAATTGGTGATTTAGTTACATCATATGGACAAGGAATGTTACAATTTGTTGAACGTGATACCATAGATAAACTTATAACAGAGGGAAAACGTTCAAAAATAATGAAAACAAAAACATTAGCCACTTGGGCAGCTAAAGAAATTCGAAAACTAAAAAGTGGTTGAAAAAAATTCACACTACAATAAAACCAAAAACAAACAGCATGAATCGTTTTTTTCTATTGTGTTGCTCTGCGCGTTGTGTGTGTGTGAGAGAGAGAGTGTAATGTATGGTGCGATTTTTTCATCTCATCGTTTGCTTTGTTGTTGTTATTGTTATTGTTCTTTCATGTGATGATATTGATATTTTTGATGCATTTCGTATGCCATCGATTCATCGCTGAAGAATAAAAACAAAATGGCAAGGAGACAACAAAAAGGCAGATGGAGATGATATTTTCTATCAATTTTTTTCTCTTGTCAATTGTATGAGAGTGTTATATGTACATGCGCTGTGTTGGTACGCTGTTTTTCTGAATGGGTGTGTGAATGATCCCTTCCACCCTTATTGACTGTCAATCAGTAAAACACCAAATTGTTTACGCTATGATAATCTCAATTTAAATGGCCACACACGCACAAACCGCATTTTATGCAATGTGAATAGCTCAAGCTAGATTTTGACGTTTCAAAAAGTAATTTTCTGGTCGAAGTTTTTTCTCTCTTTTTCAAATATTTGATTACAAGTTTACTGTAAAACAGTCGTCTCTTCTTTCTCTCTCTCTTTCTATCTAGGTAATTCTTTCGGTTCTTTCGTCTACGAATGTTTTTTTGTATTTTTCAAATAGAAAAAGCAAATGGTTTCTACGTTTATTTTTAATTTTTTCTGTGATCTCTCTCTCTCTCTCTCTCTCTCTCTCTCTAGCTCTTTCTTTCTTTCTTTCTTTCTACTTCTTTTCTCCGGTTCACTGCAATTTGCGCGAGCGTGTGTGGAAGAGTTAAAGAATACCGGTGCTCTCTTGTTGTTCATTCGTCTATATTTTTTTCTGCCAATGTTCTGTTCTCCTCTATGTCTTATGATAACCTATAGACTTTCCGTTACGACATGTGTCCTTAATTATGATGATTTGACGGACTTAGTGTGTATGAGGAGTGTGGTATGATGTTGCTGTTGTTCATTTTTTTATATTATTATCTAAGCTTTCACTGTGTGCTTTGTTGTATGTGTATGTATGTATGTATGTTTGTGAGTTCACTTTCGAAATCTATTTTTTTGTGTAAAAATAAAAAGCAAAAGAACCATGGTGAATAATACGGTTTTGGCAGATGTAAATAACAGTATGCGTTTTGAATACGCTTCACAGACCCCATACTAGTAATGACTCTTGAATAAAAGTGGCATGATCATATTTTCAAATTTTGTGTATTTATCAACTGATTTTTAAACTAGAGTAGCTCGACTATTGTATACCATTTTGTACGATTTGATAAAGGTGTGTTGTAACTTTTTGCTAAAACTTATTACTCATTGAAAGATCCCAGCATCTTATCTTATACATGTGATGGAATTAGTAACAAGGCTGCCGGTCAGCCTTTCTGTTATCTTGAACAGATTTTTGACCCATCCCATGAGCCGAAATCCGTGAGTGAAAAATGTTATCTTGAGTCTGTTTGCTGCTACGGAGTTTTTGTCCCGTAGTTTTTTGAAATTTTTTTCTGTTGAGATAAGCCGTAAGGTTACAAGAGGCTCTTAGATCTTAGGAGGGAGTTAAAGATCGCGTTATAGCATCACTTTATACACCTACTTATTGTGGACCGAATTTTTGGCTTAATATCTTCCTTTAAACTCTCAATTTATTCTTTACAAAATCCACAACAAAATTTAATTTAATTCCAAACATAAAATTTCTTTCTTAAAAAATATGTCTTACATCTACTCACTAGTCCAGAGTCAAAAAGAAAGAATTCTAAACTGAATTTTAGGCGTTAGATATTCTCTTAAGTTTAAATTAAAACTATTTTACCTCTTCCGATTACTTTTTATTAGTTATTACAACATTACGGTTCTGATTTGATGGATTACAGGAATTAAACATGTGAAGTTGTAGCACAAGCAATTATGCATTACAAGCAAAAGATAAAATTTTATGAGACAACCTCTTTCTGTGACTTGTCCTAAATCTGCAATCCAATCAGTCAGAGGCCGGATGCAGGTTCATTAATTCAAGAACTGTTTATAGTACACACTGGACTCCGTACTTTTGAACCAAAATTTATTTTAAAGAAGGTGAGCTGTTGTGAATCTATTACATGAATGATCCGGTAGATCAGCGTCCTGTCTCTGCAACCAATTTTTGTTCATAGACGGGTCGGATTACTGAGCTTCCCCGTAAGACTCTAATCAGAAAACTATGTTCCCTATAAATTAGTCAGACTTTCGATCACAAATCGTATAGTTGTATAACCAAGTTCTATACGCTCAATTAAGTAGAGTTAAAGTAGTCTTTGAAGACTCAAGACTGATGGATAACAGAGAGAACGTGAAAAGATTATAGAAGCTATTTTGAATAGACTTTTTTCTATCTCTGTACAAAAGTTATGTATATTGATTAAAATTAGTAAAAAAATAGCAGCATAAAAAAGCGTGAGTGTAAAATAATGAAACAATAAAAATGAAAAGACCTGTTGACATGCATTTGTATCACATGAAAATTCTATTCATCAGTTGGAGGACTATATAATATACTCAGATTTCTACAATGGATATGAGGTTGTTTATCCTAAATGGAATGCTAACTGGACAACACTAAGAAGCATCGATCGTTTCGCTTTCAAACACTAACAAACTTCGTTCATTCGGTGAAGTGCCAATAATAAAACGTTTTTTAGAATTAGTCAAATAATGAGTTTTGATTGTTTTTAGAGTACCATGAGATGTAATAAATTCTTTTGTCACTTGTTTTCGATGTATATTCCATTGTCGAATACGTTGACCGTCGTTATCAACTGATAATATCTGATTTTCATCTAGCCAACATACTTTGTTTACCTAAAATTCGAAAAAAATAATCGTAAGGAATGTTTTCTGCACATCAAACACACTTACTAGATTATCGTTAATATTACACAACAATGTGAATTGTCCAGTATTTATGTTCCACACTTGTATATTGCCACTTTCGGCTAGTAATAATAATCGGTTATCATTCATTTGACAATCGATGAGAGTGGATTGAAGTTGAAGTTCATATGTGTATAATATTTCTCCATCATTCAATTGCCATACAATCATGTCACCTGAGCGGAGAACAGTAAGAATTCTGTCAGTTTGTATATCCTGGTTTATAGAAGTCTGTTTATGCGTAATTGGGAATGTAAAATTCGGATTACAATCAAATCGTGTTAATATCATCGTACAATTACTCATATTTGTCGCTTCCGTTGTTGATATTAAATTGCCTGTATGGGACATCTCGTCTACACACATTTTAAATACAACAAAACATGTGAATGAACTTGTATGCTCTGTACAAGCTACAAGAGCATAATCTTCGTTTGATGTTAAAATAATTCGATTTATTTGATCGCCAATTGGTGTTTCAGGATCTGACTTCAATTCACGTTGTAAACTACATGTATCAATTTCTAACATACCCAGAGAAATACCACGTCCATATTTTTGTTTACCAGCCATGTACAATATTGGTGAATGTTTAGATGGCAAAGCAATAGAACATTTGATTGGATGAATACTGGGAATCGAGCAAAATGTTTCACTGGACCATACCTCAAAGAAAAGATTAACTTTGAACTTCTTTTAGAGCTAATAAAATAATTTGTGTACCTTAACCGCATACGAGTTTATATTTGACGTTACTTCATAAAATAATCCAATTATATATGTTTCATCGTATGAAAATGATAACTGATGACATGCACCGGTCGATGTTGTCGGCAACATTGTACATATGATGTCAGACTAGAGAAAGAGAAAATAGAAGAACAATTACGGAGCAGTTCATTAAGAATGATGTATAACCTACATGAGCCGTGCTTATTTGTATGAGATTATTGTCTGCTGTGGCTAGAAGAGGTTCTTTATTAATTGATTGTATCGCATAACAATCAACGAGATTTTTGATATACAAAAAGTTTAATATTTCATCTGGCAGTTGAGATTCTGATAAAGTATGAGTACTTTTTAATATCGATCGTTTTCTCATAGATGATAATCTCTCTTTTGTCGACTGTTTTTTATTATTTACTGAGTCATATTCAAATGTTTCAGCTAAATCGCACGAATAAACTGCCGAAACACTGTAAGTTTGAGAACTGGAATTATCATAATTATTATTTTTCAATGATCTTAATGTTGATGTTCCCGATTGTTCGATCGATGCTAGTAAACGTCCTTGACTGTATAAACTCGATGGTAACAAGGGTGGTGACATTTTTTGCTTAAATGAGGAAGACCGTTTTAGAGAATTTTCATAACAACAATGTTCCGATGGGAGCAGACAATCTGAATTTCTTTCATTTTCTTCATTGAAAACGTATTTGTTTCCATTACTATCATTGTCTTGATTGTTATTATGATCATGTGAGAAGTTATAATCACCATTTATTCGATTTGATAATATTTCAGATTCTCTACGCATTGATGCAGTTTTTCTTGTATCATCCATGTGTACATAACGTAATAAATTTGGTACACGTTTTTTCGAGTTTTTACCATCGAGTACTGCGATCGGCGTTTTTTTCGATAGTTTTTCATATGATCTTTTATCCTTTTTACTGATGGAAAGTGTTTTCAAATTGTTTTTATGGCTACTGGATATTTTGATGTGATTTGGTGAAGATGACTTTATTGTACCATTTGTTCCTGCTAATAATTTAACACAACGTCTTTTTCCACAATATAGACGGATAATGATAATTATTAGCAGACATAAGAGTGAAAATGCAATTAATGAACCGATAATAAGACCTTTTGTACCAGCACGAGTTATTTGACCGTATAACCAAAGAAATGTCCGTGATGAATTTGATGTACGAGAAAATAATTTATTGTTTACAGCTACTTGCTGATGATAGATATGATCAAGTGGCATCAAGGTACTTGTTAAAATAAAATCATTTGTAGAATAAGTTGAACTTTTAGCGATCACGGTTTTTAATAGAGTAGTGACATTGGTGGTAATCGTTGCCGTTTTTGATGATACTAATGTGAATCGACCAATAAATGGATCAGGATAAACATCCTCAACATCACCATTTCTCTGCACTGTGTTGCTCAAACTATCAAATATAGACTGACGATTGTATGATAGACCTATGTGAGAAACAACAAGAAATTATTATGACATTTTTTTTAATGTAATATTCCTCGAGAAATACCTGCAATAATTCCATTCCAGGGTTTTTCACCACTGAGTCGAATGCGTATTTGATTTACAAATTGACGATGAAGATCTTTTCCGTATTCTAAATAAAAAAAACAATTTTTTTTTAGAATTTTTGAGTCATTTATTTTTCCAGGAAAAAAGGAAGAACTTTACCGTTTCCACCTTCAAGGTTTATTTTTCCACCATCAATGTATAATTCAATTGTGGACATTTCTCGAATAATTTTAATTGCATGATAAGCACCATCGGTTATGTGAGTAGACGTTGAATAGACATCAGAATTTTTATCACCTAAATTTAGTTTGATGTACGATCGTCCACGAACCTTAAGAATTAAACAAATAATGCTAATACAACCAGTTGTTTTATAATAAAACAAACTTACAATTTCATATTCCATACTATACATATTTGAATCAGATTCTAATCGAAGTATTTGGGCTGTGTTCGATAATGTTTGTAAGCCAAAAACAATTGTATCTTTATCTGTGGTACGTGGATAATTTTTATAAACAAGGGAACCTTGACCATTGTTTTTTCCGAAATAGAAACCTTTTGGATCTAAATAAAAACAAATCTTGCAAAATAAAACTATATGTATTTCTAAATCTTTCATAATATTACATTGTTCACATTTTTCTCCCGTATAAGCTGTTTCTAAACAATCACATATTGGTCTATCATTTGCTGTTGTACAATAACCATGATGAACACATGTAAAATCATAACAAAGTTTATTCAAATCTAAATTATATACAATAGTGTAGTTGAAATATGTTTTACAAATGGATAGTTGTTCAATGTACAAATGTTTCTACTTTACAAATAGGTACAAAGATACGAATGCCAGGAAAGAAAAACATATTACTAAACGTTTTTTTTTTTTGCATGCGAATAATAATAGTACGCTATACAAGACCTCTACAGAAAATGGTTGCTTTATTGCGTTGAAAGTTCAACTTATGTCTAATAAACTGAGAGTAAAATAATAGGGATTCATAAATAGATTGAGAACACATAATGCAAGATCACGATAAGCAGTGAAAAACTAAACATCAATTCGATTTATATTATCTTTATCAATGTTTGAATTGTGTTTCTTACCTTCTTCTTCGTTATCAAATTCATCAGCTGAAAATAATTGACAGTTTTTGAAAATGTGATAGATCTTTAAGACAATTCTCAGAAGAGAAATATTAGTTGCTTGCTTCTAGAAACGGTGCAGATTTCACTTCTAATGTAAAAGGTAAGCGAATGTTTAACGGAGACAAAAAATACACGTAATATCTCCTTGTCTTTGAACGTTACGATTTAAAGTCTTACACGATCAAATACATACCTGAACAAACGTTCATTTTTACTTTTCCGTTAAGTGCTAATGCCGACGAATAATCTAACACAGTGCCTTCGACAATAAAACTCGCTAAGCATCCTTGAAAACCATGGGGGTTTAATCCTGATCCGGTCAAATTAATATTACGATTGGGTATTCCACCGATGTACAAAACGGGTTGTAATGAAACAGCTGCACGAATTCCATTTGTTGATAATGTGGAAAGATTAACACGATTATCAACAATTAATTCAATTCTAAATAACCACAATTAAAAAGAAACTTTTTTTTTGATTAAATATTTATCCTACTTGTCTGTCCCAATTTTTGTCACTTTAACTTCATGCCATTTTCCATCGGCTAATTTCATAGTTTCATCTGATACAATTTGTCTTTTACCCGCGCCCAGATCGATGAACAATGTTATGATTCCTGCTCGTAATCCGATCGCAAAATATTCATTTAAACCTTGCGCATAACGATACAAGATAATACCATCTGGTACTAATGTCCGAAATAAAAAGTAAAAATCAAATCGGCCATGATTTTTATTTAATTCTTCTCGTTCTGAAAATGCAATATAACTCGTCTGGGTATCTAATGTTAATAAATTGAAAAATGCTGTTCGATAACCAATTAGAACATCGTGCATTGTATATTGGTATGATGATGAATCTGCTTGAGTTTGTTTTCGATTCAAATAAGAAAACAAATGTTCATCATTATTAATGACAAGATCAGCCATGTGTCCAATGAACGGTTTCCAAATAAAATCATTTAGACGACGAGTATCACCAACTAATATCGAATTTATTTGCCATGTTGAAATAACATTATTTGCCACTTGATCTAGAATAGTACAAAATAGGATGATGATCAGTTAATAACATACTTTGTTTATAAACTATACATGTTTGAGTATCATCATCAACAGTCAAATTTAACAAACCATTGTTATCCAGTTCAAACTGTAACATGTGCCAGCTATCATTGTTGATATTCTTACCAACCGCTTCTGTCTAGAAATAAAGACAAAATACAGATAAAAAAGTACTCTGTCGAATGTTATTTATAATACTGAAGTGATACTCAATCATGAGCAGTTCCAACCCAGCCACATTATGACCCCTTGAAAAAATGGTCTGATTAAGCTGAAATCTCTATCACCGATACTTCAGACTCTATTGCAGGTTATAAATATTTTTTTATGCATTTTTGATTTCAAATTTCGGCGTAGGAGAATTTTTAAAAAAGGGGGAAAAAGCGGATTCCTGGGCTCCTAGACTTCTGTGTGCCCCTGTGGTCTTCTATGGACTCTTGGAGTCCACTTTTCCACCCTTGGTTTTCGCGAAGAGATCGATTTACTCAAAAAAAATGACAGTATTATGGCCAAAAAACTATACTTTTGAAAAAATACCCACGAGGCTTTCAAATAACTTTTGATGGTTTACACAATGAGCATATTAAGATTAAAATAGGGTGTGATATGATTTGTTTTTATCTACAGATCAAAGTTAGAGTAACGCGATGACTCTATTGGTAACATGATGACACCTTTTTCATCAGTTTTTCTCAAGTATATTACTCGAAGAACAGTTATTTAAGGGTAAATGTAGCTCATTCGTGCATTTACTGTATGTATGAAACAAACTTAAATGAAAATATTACTAATATAAAGTTACAGATGACTGAGAGTTAAAATCTACATGATTGATGTCACTAATAAATATTTAGGCCCATGAAAAATAACTAAATTGCTGGCATAAGAGAGAATACTTTCTGTTCTATGAAACTACACTATAAGCCTTGACGACTAGGCGTGTACCGATTGTAACCGTGCGCTTTTTTCGCAAAAAATTTTTACCAACGGAAACTGATTTTCCAAAATTTTTCTAACTACTCGGTTTTTGTAGGGCAAATATTCTCCTACAAGATGAGCGTGAGACTCTTCTTCTTCTTGGATCTAATACTTATAAAAAAAAAGATTTATTAAAAGTCTCATGATCAGTTGTAATCGATTTAGGACTCTTTGTGGAAAAGCGATTGTGGCAGAAATAGAAAGCATGAAGGCTTCCACCATAGCTCATCTTGTAAGAAAATGTTTGCTCTACAAAATCGAATTGTTAGAAATTTTTTTTGATATGTACACTTTTCATGCAATCCGTTTCGAAGAAAAGGTGAAATTTATCGGGAATAACCGGTGCATGCCTATTGACGACAGCAAAACACACCATTTTTAAAAATGTAATAGGCTATCCTTTTTTAAATAGCATGAGTACTTTGTCAAATAACGTTATCAAACTTTGATCATGTATGGGATACCGTTAGCCGAGTAAGTAATGGTAGTATTTTCTTCTGCAAGATACTTTACGCATAATTTAGAAAATTTTATTATAAAAGTAAATCATGAGAACAATATTCAACATTTGTTTTTGTATAAAAGTTAGAATTTTACATCACATATTTTCACGCTATATTATTTTGACTCGATGGAAGATGTCTGGAAAATTCGGTACAGGAAAAGAAAATGTTTGATGTGAGATACTGTTGACTATCGGGAAAAAGCGAAAGTGAGATTATCTCACGACAAGCAGAGAGAAATCGAGAAAAGTATACACATAACCAAACAAACAACAACAAAGATTAGACAAAAATTAACATGTTCTTGTTCTCTGTGCGTGCTAAACGAAAGGGTAGAACATTCTAATCATTGATTATTTAGAGGAAATGGATGATATGGATGTTTTTGTTTTATTATTTTTGATTGCAATTTTGTTATCGTGTGCGAGACATTGAGAATGACTAGAAACGGCAATTGAAATACGATTTAAAGAAGAAAAAATATTGTTTTTGTAAAATAATTTATATTAGTAAAGATTTATCTCACAAATTGTATGTGATTATTAAAATTTACAAAATGGAGATTTATTCTAAATAAAGTTCTACTCTTATTTGTCTTTTAACGGGTGTTCCAGAATAAATCGGTCACTTAGTATTTTGCTCATATCTTAATTGGATTTTATCCCCTAAACTTTGTTGTTTTCTTAAAAGATGTGTCGTAAAATTCTCTACAAAAAATATATTCAACATTTTTCTATATATCGTAAAGATGAAAGAATATAAAAGAAATACTGTGAAGCTTCAATCTCGATTATTTTGCAATTCAAGAAACAATGAAAAAAAATATTTTGAAAAAATATTTGAGCATGGTGTCATGCATAAAGGTGGAATCATGAACATAAGTTCTGGTGCTCTGAAGGGT